GCCAACTCCTCCTCCCAGCCCCTCCACCCCAATGGCTAACAGAGAACGGGGTGTGTGAAGATGTGTGGTCAATCTACAACTTGCAGATTATTAAAGGGCTCCTTATGTAGGGTGTAGCCTGAAGACCATGCCCTACATAAGGAGCCAAGATCGAAAACTCCAGTTGGAGATAATATATTCCCCAAACAGAGAATCTATATCTTGTTTAAAACATGCTGTAAATAAACAGGAAAATTAATGAAAATGTGGTACGTCCAGCCAATGTGAATCAAAACTTGTAACATAACCATAAAATATAGATATTTTTGTTGCAAAGAAAACTTTGACTTCAAGCTTGGCACAGCTCACTAGGCCATTTCTCGTAAAGTATCTTATTTTTTAATATCAGTAGACAGCCTTGTTTGTTTGTAAGTTTGGCCTTAGTTCACTCTAACATTATGCTAAATGCCTGTGTTTTTAAATCTGTTGATTATAAATATAACATTTATTCATTGTTGATAAGTTGTTTCTATTGCTGCCTGAAACTTGGGGAAAGTTGATGCTTTTTCATGGGTCACAACCCCCTAGATGAGACGTAACACCACACGTTGCATTGCACTTATATGTCATCATCGTGGAGGTTGTGGTCTTATTGGTTGGCTCACACATTAGGAAGGCGGGGTTGGTGCCTTCCTGATGTGGGAAGGCAATGTCATCAAGGACAAGAAAACCTAATGCGTTCTTTCTGTAGTTCACACATTACAATGAACTATGAACTTTGACGATCAGGATGCAGATGAGATTCTGTGTCACTGGCTATACTGTTCAATGATAGTTGAAAACATAAAGTTATATTTCTTAATGTTCTTTCCATTACAACAATGGGAAATTAAAACAAGCTTATCATGAACTCTTTTGAGTAGTTTTTTAAGCTTAAATAGGTGTTTACAATGTTCATTAGATCTGTCTTTTCTTTGGGAGTTCTCAGGAATTTGTAGGAATTTGTAGTTTCCCTTTTTAAGTGTCATTTTTCATATGATCAAAAATTACACTTATGCAGTATTTTTAAATATTTTAAATTTAAATGAGAAATGTTTCACCGTTTCTCCCACTGAAAACATTATGTCCTTCACTACCACTTCCTTAACTGGATGACCGAGCCTGCATCATGAAATTGTTTTCCATGTTATTTGTGTGATATTTCAATTTCTTTATGCAGCAGGGATACACCTCTCAAACAATCTAGCAAGTAGACTAAACTGTTTTCTGTAATTAGTTTTCTTCTGTTGGTTTCTTAAATAACATGTGAATGTTAATTACCACAACAATCAGGTGCAATATTGATCAAATTCCAGTGGATCACAACTTTATTTGGTTGTTTAGCTAGGCATAATCAACATGTATTGTTAACCTTAATTAGACTAGAAAACATGTTTTTTGCAGACAATTTCAATCTGCAAAACCTGTAATCAATAATCAAATGATAACTTTTATTAATGATTTAAAATGTTGTTAGTTTTTAGTCTTTGGGTCTTAAAATGTTCATGTGTTTCACTTGGAAATATAATTGTGGCTCTTTAGTTTCAATATCAATGTGAATTTCAATATGAAAGTTATAAAAAATGTTTTTGCACATTTCTTTCCAGCTGAGAGTCAAAATTATGCTTTCATGTATTCTTTCTGTAAGTTTCATTTTGAGAAACCCACAACAAGTCCTAAATATGAAATGACACAACCTACATTTGGTGTTGTTTCATGTGCTTAGGTTGGAAAGATGGTTCATATTGTTTCCACTACGGTAATGCAGTGAAAAACCAACGAAACGAGAAGCCAATCAGACTGCACTGAAAGTGTTTCCTCCCACTTCATATGATTATATTTAGATGGATCATTTAAATTACGTTTTTATTACAGCAGTATCAAGTCAAAACACCAGAAATGAGGGTTATGTTTTATTTATTCCTGATGCTCAATGTTGGTCGTAAGTATATGGAGAGATAATATTTACAGCAAATATATATTTAAAGTAATGAAATTTAAGAAATTTAAAAGGACAAACAAAATTAATGATGACTGAGTGGACTGATTTTTTTCCCTTTTTGTTTTTTGTTTTTGGTCAGGTTGCTCAGATGAACAGACTTTCGAGACAAAGACTGTTTACGTTGGGGAGAATATTAACCTGACGTGCCCACGTAGAGATGTAGGAACCTTGTTTTGGCTCAAGCTTGTTTCTGGAGATTTTCCTAAAATCTTAGGAAGATCATTTAGCTCTCAGAGTGCTGATCAGCGCATTAGAACTGTAACAGATCCTGGAATATTTGATCTGTATATTACAAAAGCACAGCAGAGTGATACAGGAGTTTACATCTGTATGAAAACAGCAAATCGAGAACTAACATTTTTGAATGGAACCTACTTAAAAGTTCAAGGTAAGTAGACAAAAACCTGAAGAATGTTTGTAGATTCCTGTAAAATTTGTAAATTTACATTGATTGTTTGCTCATTTGTGCATGGAGGTATGTATAGGCGTACCGCCATGCGAACACCAAATAGTTAATATAAAAACAAAAGCAAAGCTTTTTATTGAATTTTGCTAAAATAACAAGTGATTTTGCACATTCTTTATAATTACTTAGGACCTGAGCCTCCTTTCACTACAGCTCCTCCACCTGATTCTGTCCATCAGGAACACACAGTCAATCTTCAATGTTTGGTCCTCCATGACTTCCAGAATAAAACATGTCCAGTAGATGACAACGTGTTCTGTTTGAGTGCAGAACCACATCAATCTAACCCGGGCTCTAATTATACTCATGTGAATGGTGGAGATGAATATGAAAGGAACTCAGAGGCACTCTCCACAAAAACATGTTTCTACAGCTACTTCAGAAACTTCAGCTCTTCTGATTCTCAGACGTATTACTGTGCTGTGGCCACATGTATGGAGTCTTTTTCTCGAAATAAAACAACAGGCGATGCTGAAGGTAATTGAGTAGTATTTTTATATAATGGGGCAATTAGAGGATTTGTGCATTTCATTACATTTTAGTTTTTAATCTATCCTGTAATGCCTAATCAAATAATTGAAAAATACTTTTGGTAACACTTTTAATTACTGTTAACTTTCATTATTTCTTTTTTTTTTTATGTCAGCAGTCAAGAAAAGCTGTTCAAAGAAGGACAATACAATTCTCTATCTGTTATGTGTCGCTTTGGCTATAAGCCTGATTGTTATAGCCTGTCTAGTTTATTCAATCAAGAAGCTAAAGAAGAGTTCATATGTATATTCTAATGGTAAGCAAAGTCACTCCCATCACATCAAGCAATCAATACTAGGAAAATATAACCTAATTTTACTGCTTTTTTTTTTAAAATGACAATACAGATGCAGTTGCCCTGCAAACAAATGTACTTTCAAGTGGTGACCAGGAAAATCAGCAGGTAATTATAAGGACAAACAGAGCCATAAGCTTCCAGCATGTTTACCTGTGTAAATATTAACATGTGCTGCTTCCTCAGACAGATGAGGACTTGTTGGTTTATTCGGCACCAACTTTTAAAAAAGCGAGCAAATCGGGGACAAAGGATACAAAACCTGCAGAGGAAGAGAGCATCTACACTGATGTCAAGGCTCTTGGGCTGGATTAAGCTCTACTAGCATCATAAATGTGGACATATATTTCACTTTTGTTGTTTGTTAGAAATGTAATTATTTGTATATTTTTGACACTGTATTTCCAGTTTATGTGCAAAGACTAAAAAGTATATTATTAAGCTATTTTAGAGATGAAAACAGTATGAATCCCATCTATGAATGGTTTTAGTCTGTGTTGTTGTGTTCTTTAATATTATTTAGTATATTGACGTGTTTCTCTGTAATCCACATGAATACATTATTTTCACGAATATAATGAAAGTAAAAAGTGGTTACAGTGGATATACAGTTTCCTGTTTGATAGTAAATAAAGTTTAATACAAAAATATAACACAAAATATCAACAGTACAAGAAAGTCACTAATTATTTAATTAAATTTCTTAAACAGAGTCAGTGTGGCATTTTTTCTTGTATGTGTATATTTTTAGCTATGAACTTAAATTCAATTTAATAAACTTAATTTTTGACAATAACTCAGTTAGTCTAGGCTACTCTGAAAAAAGTAAAAACTTGCCGACTTTCCTTACTCCAGAGGTAAGGCCTAGTGGCTTCATAGTATAATAATTCAAGAAACAAAAACGCTTCATGGGTCATAAGCTAGTGTAACCTTTCTGCTTGTTCTAAACCCTGATAAATGGGAGCATTTTGTCAGGAAGGGTATCCAATATAAAAACTACGCAAAATCAAGCGTGTGACCCATCTGTGCTGGATGCTGTGGCTGTACCTTGGGAAAAAAGGCAGCAGCTACAAGTATCTAAGTCAGAGGTGGGGCCTGATGGTTTTATTTAAGTTTCTGTCAGTCATTATGGTTATACCCAATTTTAAAATCACAGTAATCAGACTTCGACAACAGTCAAAATATCTGGAATTCCATAAAGTGATTATAAACCAAGTTTTGTTACATAGTGACAAAAAGGAAAGAATGAGTCCCAGTCTGGGGATTGTTGAGCCTTGATCCTTGTGGGAGATGGTCACTACTCTCCACTGGACAGTTCTACCCCTTCCTGGGATGCAGGTACTTGTTGGTTCTGGGGCATGTGGCTATTTTGACTTCTGCTCAGCAATCTATACTCTATAGAGCAAAAAGCTAATTAACTATGTAATGCCTCCAGTAATGCCACCCATATACCCCACCTTTGCAAATACAATACTTACTGATAAACAATAAAATACTATTTTGATGAATGAATTTTAAATTGTGTCTTTAGACATTTTGTTACTAGCACTCTGTCTCAAAAACACATAATTTGTTTCCATTTCTTTAGATTAATCAGCATCTATCCTTCCACCCATCCATCTGTCTTCTTTCGCTTATCTGGGCCCGGGTCGCAGGGGCAGCAGCATCTCCCCAGCCACCTTCAGGCATTTTCAGGCCAGCCGAGAGATATAATCTCTCCAGCGCGTCCTGGGTCTGCCCTGGGGCCTCTCCCGATGGGACATGCCTGGAACACCTCACCCAGGAGGCGCCCAGCAGGCATCCTTGTCAAATGCCAGAACCATCTCAACCTTGTGAATCTGCATGACTTCATAAAATTGTATTAGTAATAGTAATATTAAGATTAATATGAATAATATTTATTTTAATAATATTTAATTAATCTGATCACCTCCTTATCCCGACAAACTGCTCTGAGTTTTCATTGTACTGAGGAGAAGATCACCCAGTAGAGTTCACCTATTTGAAAACACAGGCTGACTACTTAGTTTATTTCAGAAGCACTTTAGAACTGAACCTTACTGGTTACTGACATGGTGGTTTTATAGTCCTGTCGGACCAGAATCCTGTGATTCCGGTCGGACAGGGGGTTCACCCACCGTGCGTGTGCAGTGATTCCTCCAGGATCCTGACTGAATGTTACTGGAAGCGGATTACGTAAGTGATTGCCGAATATTCCAGACAAGTGGTCTGGAATAGAGCAGAGAGGGGACACTTTTCATAGGTTTTAACACTCAGTTTCACTTCTCTCTTTGTTATAATTTTGCTCTTCTCTGTGGCTTGCTGACTTACCAGCAAAACCACAGACAAGAGTAGCCCACAGACCAGTTGTACCATATGCTCTGTAGACTGGCTCCATCTGACAACAGAACTCACTGCAGGACAACAAATGTCGTGCCTCTGCTTGGTCATAAAGCCACGTTCATCTTACTAAAGCTACCTAACAGATTACAAATGAGAGGAAAGTTGAACCTCATGAATGAACTAACATTTATTTCCTCCATTATCATTTAAATATGGTGGGAACTTTGTTTATGGCATTTGCAGTTATTTATGAAGATCTTTGAAATTCATATTTTATTATAAATGAAGAAGCTGCCGTACATTTAAGTGAAGCTACTCTGTGGTTCCACTTGCTCGGTGTACTGTTCTCTCTTAAACTCTTCTTAAAGACTTAGACTCTGGTCCTACATACATTTAATAATTTGCAAACCTGAGATGGGTCATGTTTGCATCTGGAAATAAATATTTGTCTGTTCTGTATTGTCATTTTAGTGTCATTTTTCTGATGTAAAGATGGCTGAGGCTTTTTTTGAGTCTTGAGTTATTTTAATTTTATTTATAAATGCTTCATAAGGCAAAAAATTCTTATCACTTTGGTGAGGTCACATAAAATACTAACAAGTGAATTAAACATGAATTACAATATGAAATATGTATTTATAAACCCTCTATTAACACACTTACAAACATATATATATATATAAAACAATTACCCTCTCACTCCTGTGGGCGGTCTTGCCCTTTGACTCCTCTAACAGAGGCCTGGGAGCTTGAGGGTCCTGCGCAGTATCTTTGCTGTTCCTACGACTGCGCTCTTCTGGACAGAGATTTCAGACGGTGTTCGTAGGATCTACTGGAGCCACTTGCCTAGCTTGGGGGATCACTGCACCAAGTGCTCAGATTACCACGGGGACCACTGTTACCTTTACCCTCCACATCTTCTGGAGTTCTCCTCCCAACTCTTGGTACTTCTCATGTTCCTTCTTCCTGATGTTGCTGTCATTCGGTGTAGCTACAGCTATCACTACGGCCATCTTCCTCTGCTTGTCCACCACTCCTGTTCCAGTTGGTTAGCCATCAACAGCTTGTCTGTCTTTAATTGGAAGTCCCACAGAATCCTAGCTTGGTCATGTCCCATTTTGACCTCTGGACTTCCAGACTGTATTGTTCCTGCATATTATGCCAGCCATTTTATTATGGCTTGGTTTTTGTTAAACAGCCAACGCCTGGTCTGTGTAAAAGACCAGGGCTTTCATTACAAGAAATAAATAATTTCCAGCCTAGTTTCAGTTAGGATTTGGACTCGGCTGCTATTTGTCAATTATTCTGTTTATAACCTGTAAGGACAAAATTTCAAGTTACAGCTAAATGATAGAAGGTTTCAAGGTTAGTGGCCTTTAAATCTTTACACACCTAGGATTGAAGCCAAGGGTAATTGGGTATGAATGAAAATTACGAGTGGTGGTGGTTCTACACTGAAAACGATAAGATGCCCATTCTCTGTTTTAGGATAAGTTGCTTCTTTTGTCTTCCTTTTAAATTGGGGAGGAGTGGAGCAGCACACATACAAATGGATTACTACAGTGTCAGGAGTGATGCTGAGAGCAGAACTGTATATTCTGTGCTTTATGAATGTGTGGTTAAAAGTGTGTTGGTCAGTAAGCTGAGAAAATGGTATATCATTTCAAATACATTAATAACAAACAACAACAACAAAAAATTGACGTTGTGAATACAGAGTAAAAATATGTGAATAATCCTGGATTGTTTCTCATGAAATTTGCTACAAAAATGGCCAAATATTCTGTTTTTTGAAGACTATAAATCTCCATTGTTCAGCCTGCTCTTTAGCTCTACAGGTGGTAAAATGTCGTGTCCCCTGGCCAATATTCGATCTACAAATTTTCCCTGAAATGTACAGTGTGACACATTATAGCTATTTCAAGATCGAAGAACACAAATAGTTACCATGTTGGCAGTGTTAAAAACCAGAGTCCAACACAATAGAAGATGAAAGAGAGGTGATACGTTTTACAAAGCACAGAGGTAGATGTAACAGGAAATGTACTTTTGAATCTATTCTGTGTTAGCCAATCAGGTGCATTTTACTGACCTAAAACGTTCATTCCACCTCCTTCACTCATTGAAATACCAGTACGGTCCCCAACAAAAAGCAGTGCCAAGATGATCGTCTTTTGGGTTACATTGTTTTTTTTTCACCAAGGATGTAAGTGCATTTTTATTTTGTCTAAAAATGTTCTTAGTTGAGGATTTTCATGTCAAATAGACATATACAGAATAAAAGAGTTTTACACTGGAAAGTTACAACGTCAAACAAAATTTTATTTCTCTTATTTCAGATTCTCTGGTTCCAGTTGAAACTGTTCAGCTTGGTGACCCAGCAACCTTGACATGTGCTATTCCCAAAGAGCTCAGCATTAGGGGACTCAAATGGTACAAGCAGAGCGTCGGGGATACTCTTAAATTAATAGTTACTCTGATTCAGTCTAAAGCTGATTTTAGTCCTGGAGTATTGAGCTCAAGATTTCGGATAAATAATGATGCAAATTTTAGCAGCCTGATCATTTTGGAGACAGTTCAAGAGGATGAGGGTCACTATCATTGTACAAACACAGAATGGATTGGAACTACATGGGGTGGGACATATTTGTTAGTTAAAGGTAATAAGCCAATCTACTTTTACAAATGTTCACATTTTTCTGTGCATGTTTTGAAGAATGTGATTTGTATTACACAGGAAAAGCTCAGAGGACATCAAACTATGCAGTCAGTCAGTTACTGATAGAATCAAATCCAGTCCGTCCAGGAGACACAATGACGCTCCAGTGTTCAGTCTTCTCTGACTCTGACAAGAAAACATATCCTGGAGATCTCAATATTCTCTGGGTCAGAGAGGGATCCGATAAATCTCTTCCAAACATCATCTACACTGACAGAAACAGAAGTAATGAATGTGAGAAAAGATCTGACCATCAGAAGACATGTGTTTATCACTTCTCTAAGAATGTCAGCTCCTCTGATGCTGGGACTTACTACTGTGCTGTGGCCACATGTGGGGAGATATTATTTGGAAGTGGAACTACTGTGGTTATTCAAGGTAATGTTATCATTACTCTATTAATTAGAAAAAATGTCACAAATGGCACTTTGGCATTCATCTCATCTTTTCCTTTTCTTTTTAATATGATTGCAGAAAGCAGTGTGTGGTCACAGACAGCTAGTAGAGTTGTTTTCTTGCTCTGCGCTGTCGTGGTTATAAGTCTGATTGTTATTGCTGTCCTCATTTACACAATCAAGATAAACAACAGTGATCATCCCAAAGGTAATTTAAGTTAATCATAATTCTCTTTTTAATTAAAAGCATATAAATCTTGAGTTTTATCCATTGTTATCTGTATTTTCCACAATCAAGCTGCTGTCCAGCAGAAAATCTTTAGTGATGAGAAAAAAACAGCAGGTAAAGCAATTAAAGCTGAGAATATTCTTAAAAAATATAACATGTTTCTTATTTAAGTTTCTTTTTAATGTTTCTAATATTTTTTATGCACTGCATTTTCCCAGAATGAGGACACATGGATGTTTTCTGCTGTTGTCTTTACCACGATAGAAGTTGACAGAAGTATAACAAAGAGTGCAAACGCAGTGACGAGGCAGCAGATCTATATGGCTGCCAAGAATCTTGGGCTGGATTAGGTCTATATATGATGCCTTGGTATGAAATAATCTTCTTTATGTTTGCTTAGAGCTAATTTTTCTTTTTATAATGTGGCTTTGTGTACATATCATTATCAGCATGTTTAAATGCACTTTGATTGATCGCAACTTAATAATGAAAATGTACATGTTTGTATACATGTAAAGATCCGCCCTGAACAGCAGCGTTCCTGGTTTAGTCTGGAGTGTATGAAGTTCAGATAGTTAGGGTGCATACCAAATAAGCACATACCCATTAAAATAAAAACAAACATACATTTGTGAAAGCAAGGGATTATCTTTCTTGGTAATTATGTAGTAAATATGCAAATTAAATCTGTACCAACTGCATTTTTTAAATTTCATTTTTATGATGTATGATGATAAAATCTTGGAGAAATAAGTAAAGGGTGAATACGTATAAGAAAAGTACTGTAGCTGAAACTAAAGACTAACAGGAAGGTGCTGATGTATTCAAACAGGGAAACCACACATGAGAGAAGTTTACAGATTTCAAGATAAGAAAAAAAGATGATTTTGATCAGTGCATAGTGTTGATTTGTGTCTCAGAAGAAAGAAATGTAGAACAATGAGGGTTAAAAGGAAGGTTATTGTATCATAGTACATCATTGTCTTTACCATTTTGCAGTCTAGTTGTAATGAATTGTCCTAAAATCCTATTCTCAATATTACTGTGTTTGTCAACATTATTAAATAAAACACCTTCTATCAAATCTTGTTATTGTTCAACTTTGCTTTGCAGCTTTGTAAACATTTTTCATCACTAAAATTCCTTTAGCATTTGAACGTAAAAGATAGGAGTTAATGATTTTATGATGGTTTTATAATATTTTTTGTACAGTGATTTAAGATGTTAATCATTTGTTCCTTTGAAAAATACTGCTATCTGTCCATTCTCTTTCTCTTATCCATATTAAGGGGACTGGGGGGCTGAAGCCTATCGCAGCTATCACAGAGCAAGAGGTGTGGTACACTCTGGAGAGGTCGCCACACTGACTCAGGGCTAACTAACTGCTGTATTCATTATTTGTGTACATTTCATGAGTAATGCTCTCCTTAATATTAAAATGGACAGATGAAGGACAGATCATTACAGATGATTCCTGCTCACTATAAGAGTCTCATCCAACAGCAGCGTACATACAATCTTGTGGTCATTCTCTCGTTTTCCTTTTTTTAAAAACTCTCATTGCATAGCAAGCCCCGGTGATTACATCATGACCTGTAATGACTTACATTTCACAATCTTTACATTTGCATTTCTTACATTCAGGGACTGTCCTAGCATGTTTGGTACCCTGGGCGAACACTCCCTCTCCCTCTGTCAATTTTCCATCAGTAATTTTGCACTTCAGTATCACCCAATCCTACAACATGGACTAATAGACTAATAGACATACACCTTGTATAGGGTTTTTTTCTGGGATTTCACACAACCCAGGAAAAATAATCAATACAAAATGGGCTTGGAGTGACAATATTATGAATGAAATGTGCACTACTTGGAAGCAGCCCGCCCCCTCCCCTTTCGACAGGTTGTGTGTGAGACTTCAGCACAGCAGCAGGCACACCGAGGGTCCCTCGCGCTCACTTTTCGCATAGATGTGTGTGATAGAATTTAGAAAACACATGTGTGCAAATTATAAGTCTATATCATCATTTCTTAAGTTTTTGTGTTTGTTTTAGGGCAGTCAGTGTTAACGCGTTAACGGCGTCATCACGATTAATGCGATTAAAATTTTTAACGCACTCAACCTGTCCGGAGCGCAGAACGGACAAACTTCAGACAAACTTCCCGAAATGCGTTGAGAGAGAGATCTCAGGGATTTTACGACATTCTGCTCTCCAGATGGATTAATTGCTGCTTCAGCCAGAGAATCTCCCACAGTCCCGTCCCTCTCCTCCCTGTGTGGCAAGCAGCAGGCGCACCTTGCAAATAAAGGGCACCTTTACTCCCCGCAAATAGGCAATAGAAAACCGAT